AGATCACGTCAAAACTACTATCAAAATCCCAAATACACATCAGTATATCACATCACATCACCATCGTAATATCAAAATATGAACACCACTATATCAGCAGTTATCTTAATAAAAAAAATACACAGAGATCCTGGAGATACACAAAGCTCACGTAACAACATAAACAACAACAGTTCGTCAGGAGTTTTACACAGAGATCTTGAGAATACACAAAACACACACAACAGAAATATCAAATACGCCCGATGTTGTTATTATAGAATAATACACAAAACACACACACACACAAACTGATATTATTACGTCAGGAAATATCCATTGTAGATAAATACGGAGATCTTGTAATATTCACACAAAACTACAAACACACACACACACAAGCACAAGAAACGACCCGACCTCCTCACGTCCAACACCGACTGGCACTCGTACACACAGACACGAGCGCGCAGAGACACACATGCACACACATATATACACACACACGAAGAGCGTTACGTACACACGCGCGCACAGACCCCAGCCGAAATAATCTCGAACTCCGTTGAAGCCTCGAGACGAACTGGAAGCCATTTAGCTAAGTCGCTCGCCTCCTCGAAAGTGTTTCCACGGTCTTGTCTCCCCCTCCTCCTCCCCCCGGCCCTGCACCCCCCCCCCCCTCTGAGATAAAAAAGAAGAAAGAAAATGGTAGCCGAGGGTTCGGGATAAAAAAAAGAAACAAGTGAAGAAAGAAAGAAAAAAAGCAAAAAAGATAAATTCTTAGGTGACGCGTTGGTATCCATTTTTTAAATCTTTTAGCGTGATTTCCTTTTTTTGTTATCAATTCCTTTTTCGTTATTAAACGTACACGGAAGCATGCTTCATATATACACACACACTTAGATAAATAAATAATATATATATATATATATATATATATATATATATATATATACATATATATGTATATATATACATATATATAGGGTATTGAAATTAACAATAATATAGTTTTCTATGAAAAAGTATATATATATATATATGTATATATATATATATATATGTATATATATATATATATGTATATATATATATATATATATATATATATATATATATATATATATAAATATATACATACATATATATAAGCACACTCACTCACACACACGCACACACACACGTATATATATACATAAATACACACACACACATAAGTGTGTGTGTGTGTGTGTGTATATATATATATATATATATATATATATATATATATATATATATATACACACACATATATATATATATATAAACGTTTGTATGTATGTATGTATATATATACATATATATACATATATGTATATATATACATATATGCTTGTATGTATATGTACATACATCCATGCATATATATATATATGTGCATGTACATACACACATACATATATATATATGTGTGTGTGTGTGTGTGTGTGTGTATGCGAAAAGGAAGACAGCCACAGTAAGAAATTGAAATAAATCGCAACGTTTCGAACTCTTAACGAGTTCTTCAGACGAATAATAAACCGAAATGGATCACATCCATTCCTTTGTGTACATGTTACCGTTTGTATTTGTGTCAATATATATATGTGTGTGTATATATGAGTATATATATATAATATATATATATATATATATATATATATATATATATATATATATATATATATATATATATATATATACACACTGCGATCGAAGAAAACACTTGGGGCCTTTACTTTGCTTACCTGATGGCTCCTGACCGCATCCCAAACAGGAATCTACAACAAGATAAAACCGAATAACGCATCGTCTGTCGCGCGGGTTATTACCACTGGCTGACGCGTCCCTTGATAAGCATGCTACTGGAGGAAGATGTTGAAGGGAATGAAAGAGATGGTTACCTAAATCTAAATCTAACTTAAATATTGGAACTTAGAATGTCAGAAAAACGAAAGAACTTTGAATATCGTGTGTGATATAAATGTACACACACACACACACACACACACACACACACACACACACACACACACACACATATATTTGTGTGTGTGTGTACTTGATATATCGGAAACAAACTGGAATGACAGTGGAAGTTTTCAGACCACCAATAACAATAGAGTTATATTTTCGAGAAAAAAGTAAAGGCTATAATCATCGCATTGCTATTACATTATCAAAAGAGTCAAATAATGCCAATAAAGCAAACGCAAAGGTTGGAAAACCAAAAACAAACACAGAAATTTATAGTGAATTTGGATTAGAAGATCGAAAGGAGAGAAGTGAAGATCTGATAAACTTGTGTAAATCAAATAACTAATAAATAAATAACAAATAATAAATAATAAATAACAAATAAAACACTACCCAAAACGACTTTACACATAGACCTCATCAGATGGGAAAACTAGAAACCAGATAGATTATATAATGATAAATCACAAATGGCGAAGCAGTGTCAATAAATGAAAAAAAAAACTTTAACTATAGTGACTATCATTTAATAGTAATTCAGATCTAAATTAGACTAAAATAGAAACAACAAACAGGTTATACAGTAAATTCTGACTATAGTTAAAAGATATCAATCTGATTTCAAACTCTATTGGAATGGGAAGAAGAGACAATACCAAATGAAAGAGGAGGAGGAGAAAGAGGAGGAAGAGGAGGAGGAGAAGGAAGAGGATGAAGAGGAGAAGGAAGAGGATGAAGAGGAAGAGGAGGAGGAGGAGGAAGAGGAGGAGGAAGAGGAGGAGGAGAAGGAAGAGGATGAAGAGGAAGAGGAGGAGGAGGAGGAGGAAGAGGAGGGGGAAGAGGAGGAGGAGGAGGAGGAGCAGGAGGAAGAGAAGGGAGAAAGGTAAGGGATTATAAAAAAGAGAAAACGGACCCAAAAAAACTTGGAAACAAACAAAATTTAGAAGAAATTGAAAAAAAGACGATTTAGGAAAGCAAAGAGTGGTAAAAGTCTTCCATAGAAAGATGCTTTGAGAGAGAAAAGTGGAATAGTTAAAAAAAAGTTATGAAAAGACAAAGGAATGAAAATAAATGATAAATGCCAACAAATAGAGTTAAATTCTATAAACAATTCAACAGAAGATCTGCATCAAGTAATTAAGAACCTGACAAAAAAAATCAGACCAAAAACTGACACAGTGAAAGATTAAAATAACTAAGCGAAGGCATAAATTAAAATCTTACTGTAAAAAAAATATATACAAGGAAAATGAAAGGATCCTTGTAAATAAATTCCAACTATTTGAGCAATAAGAGCAAAGAACCACCACCGCTGTTCGCTGAAGTGCAGAAAGCAATTCAAGAGTTAAGAGATGGAAAAAAAAATCAGGCATTAATGACATTCCTGCTGCATTGGTAAAAAGGGGGTAATGAGAGAGTTATTGGCTTCTTCCATAAACTATGTGCTGCAACATGAAAGCAGAATGAATGGCCTGAGGACTGGGTTACATCAATTCTTTATTCCTGTACCCAAGAAAGAAGATGCATTAGAATATATTGACAGCAATTGCTATAATAAGTCACTGTAGTAAAATCTTCCTGGAAATCATGCTGGGCGTATGAAATAAAGATTAGGTGATGAAATTGCAGAAGAACAAGCTGGGTTTCGTCCTGGAAGAGGTACTAGAGACCATGTTCTTAATCGAAAGATGATCGTAGAGAAACACAGAGAACAAAATAAGAATTTATACTTGCGTTTTATCAATTACGATTAGCTTTTGGCAGTTATTCATGACCTACTCTGGAAAAAAAAGCCAAGGAGTTAGGCAAGGTTGTATTCTTTCGCCGCATTTGTCCAATATCTGTGCAGAGAAAATTATGAGAGAAGCAACAGAGAACTTTGAAAGTACTATCAAAATAGGAGGCAGAAATCTGTCAAACCTAAGATATGCAGATCATGTTCTACTTACCGGATCTATTCAAGAACTCCAAAATTTTCAACAGACAATAAAAGTGAAGATGTATTATACTTAAATGTGAGCAAAACCAAATTAATAAAAGTAGAATGCGATTCTCAGGCACAACATGATTTTATAATCAATGTTGAAGTTGTGGAAACTGTCCATGAATTCATTTACGTAGGAACAACTATCACTAACAACTGTGACGATTCAAAAGAAATAAGAAGGAGAATTACCATCGCTGTTGACTCGTTAACGAACATCTAGAAAGACAAATCTACCTCATTAAAAACGAAAAAAAAATCAGACAGGGATGTTTTCCCATTGCTAGTTACGGGTAATGAAGAAAAAATATAGAAAAAGAATGGAAACTTTTGAATTGTGATGCTATAGACGTTAACTTCGTGTTATCTGGAGCGACCACAGGACAAACAGAATATTCAACACCATCGACAGACGTAAATTGAAGCATGCTGGTCACGTAGCAAGAATTGATGTATATATGTACATACATACATACATATATATATATATATATATATATATATATATATATATATATATATATATACGTATATGTATATATATATATATATATATATATATATATATATATATATATATATATATAAGTGCGTGTGTGTGTGCGTACGTGTGTGTATATGTTTATATATATATATATATATATATATATATATATATATATATACATATATATATGTCTATATATATATATATGTCTATATATAATTTATATATACATATATATATGTTTATACAATTGAAATATATATATATATATTTATATATATATATATATATATATATATATATATATATATATAGTGTGTGTGTATGTGTGTGTGTGCGTGTGTGTGTGCGTTTGTACGCGCGCGCGCGCGCGTGTGTGTGTGTGTGTATTGTGTGTGTGTTTGCGTTTGTGCCTGTGTGTGTGTGTGTGTGTGTGTGTGTGTGTGTGTGTGTGTGTGTGTGTGTTTGTGTCTTTGTGTGTGTGTGTGTGTTTGTGTGTATATATATATTTATGTATACATATACGTATACATATACATAGATACATATATACATACACACACACACACACACACACACACACACACACATATATATATATATATATATATATATATATATATATGTGTGTGTG